GCAAACAAAACTTCTAGATGTAATTCTTATGCACTATTTATTCTAATATCGGCCTCATACATCAGCCGTTACTATATGTATCTTCATTTAGGGGATTACAATTCAATATGATTCAATGCAATGTTTTTTAATAAGCAATACGATATGTTTTGGTAAAGGCTTTTATCTTATGCTCTTAATACAAATACAACACTATTGATTTATGTTTTATTTATTGAAGATAAAGATGAATTGTTAAGTTAAAGAGAAATACATGTATCTATATAATTATTATTTTATCTAAAACACAATTGTTGTTTAAAGCACACCTCTAAAACGGATATAGCGCTCAATCTGGTCCAAACGCCTGTTCTCCAGTTGCTGCTTTTTCAATGAGAGAAACTCTAAACCTGGACTCACTGTTGGCTTTAAACTTCCACAGGACCAAAGCAGCAGAAGCAGCAGCAGCAGAGAGACACAGAGCGAAGAGGGTCCAGGCCAGAGAGCAAGAGGAACAAGACTCCACCTTTTCATCTGCACAAAAATAACATATTACTTTAGTTTATTTTAGTTTAGTTTATTCACAATTCACACAGTCCCTAAAAGTACATGTGTTACATTGTGAAAATGGAACTCCCAGAAGCAGAAGCTTTTACATTAGGGGTCCATCACACCACCACCACCACCACCACCACAGTCACAAACCTACAGTCAAACATACAGTCATCATAATATAAATAATAATAATAATAATAATAAAAAGTAAACAGTGCTCCCAGAATACATACGTAATAATAATAATAATAATGACAATAAAGATAATAATCCTAAATCAATAACAATAATAGATAAATAAAGAATAAGAAATAATAACATCTTCACCACACTTCAAGGAAGTACAGAACACTTAGGCAGGCGAAGCTGCTGAATGCTCATCTCCGCTACCAATAATAATTATATAGTAATGATAAGAATAATATTTAATGTATTCCTAATATGTAGTTGTAAGTGTTTGCAGCTGGAGTTTACTGTAGGGTAACTTCTGCCAGCCCTGAGATCATGGCTGTGAAAGAGAGATCTACCTCTCGCCTCAAACAGATACAAAATAGAGAGTGGTTCAAGACTCTTTGTGCTTCAACGCTTTCATCCAGTCACATACTTCCCCAGTAGATGAGCCTTTAGTTCCCTCTTAAATTTGGATAATGTGGCACATTGCTTTAGGTTACTATCCAACTCATTCCATGTAGTTGGGCCTTTGTGGCAAATACTAAAACTTGTGCATTTTAATTTTCTGTATTTCCCTTTAGGCAGCAGTTTGTTCCTAGTATTATGTTGGTATGATGGTAAATATAATGGAATGAGTTCACACAATCGAACATTTAACTTGTTAACCACACTATACATTGTGCACGCATTATGGTAGAGATTAACTTCAGGCAACGTCAATAGACCATATCTATGGAAGAGAACATCTGTGGGAGCATGACCCAAGGACCAAGAAAGTGCTCTTATGGCTTTCTTTTGTAATACTTGAAGTTTAGACATGTACGTGGGGTAGGTATTATTCCATATGATATTACAGTAATTCAAATGAGGCTCGAACAGAGATCTATACAAGGACAGTAGAGCTTCTAAGGGAAGAAACTGTCTCACTTTAAACAATAAACCTACAATTTTTGACAATTTTTTAACAAGCTCATCAAGATGCTTTTTAAAATTTGGAAATTGATCTATATGGATTCCTAAGAATTTTATAACTTCAACTTTATTAATGGTTTTACTATCAATGGTTATATTAATATTTGGGTCGTGGTACAGATGACTATTTGAGTGAAAGATCATATAAGAAGTCTTGTTGAGATTAAGTGACAATTTATTGCATCTGAACCAGTTGTTTACTTTGATGAGTTGCTCATTTAGGGAGTTTTCAAGGTGATCGATGCGTTTATGCGACATAAACAAATTTGTGTCATCTGCAAAAAGTATTCGATGAATATCACAAGAATTTCCAAAATCATTCATGTAGATAATAAATAAAAGGGACCCTAGTATAGATCCCTGGGGAACACCAAATGTTATGTTTTCCAGTTGAGAGTCAGACCCATCTATGTTCACGTACTGTTGTCTACAATAGACATAGTCCCTAAACCACTGGAGAGCTACACCCCGGACGCCATAGTGAGAGAGTTTACCAAGTAAGACTTTAAAGTCAATCGAGTCAAATGCTTTGGAAAGGTCAAGAAAAACCCCAACACCAATTTCTCTACCCTCAAGAGCATTGTTGATTTTTTCAACTAGATCTAATATGGCCATATACGTGCTGCTGCTTTTCCTGAAGCCATATTGTGAAGGATCCAGTATGTTGTGTTTGTTTAAATAATCTAGTAATCTTTCATAAACTACTCTTTCCAAAATGTTGGACAGGGTGGGCAGAATAGATATGGGTCTGTAGTTGTGTATGTCATTTTTGTCCCCTGACTTATATATAGGTATTATTTTCGCCACCTTAGTTTGTTTAGGGACAATGCCTTGTTGTAAAGATAGATTAATTATATGAGTCACTGGTTCAGCTATTTCATTGACAATGGCTTTCAAGATTTTGCTGCAAATGCCATCAGCACCAGCTGTATATGAACATTTCATTTTATTTATTATATTGGTTACTTCCATTTTGCAGGTAGGTCTGAGGTAGCAGGAGCTAGAGTAATTGTTTGTCAAAAAAACCTTATAATTTACACCCCCTGGTGAGCAGATTTGTTGAGACAGATCTCTTCCAACTGATGAAAAAAACGCATTAAAAGCATTGGGCAAAGAGTCATTCTTGGTATTACTTTTAGACTCAGTTGATGCTCCGGCGTCAGGGAGGACTGGTGCTTTTTTGTTGCGTCCGAGCACCTCATTCAGCACCTTCCAAGACCCCTTCTGATCCCCTGAGATTGATTTAAGTCTTTTTGCAAAATAATTAGCTTTACTGACTCGTATTAAACTTGTTAATTTGTTCTTTTATTTTGTATATCGATCTTTATTAGAGCAATTTGGATTTATTTTATATTCCTTATAGAGTTTATTTTTTTGCCGGATTGACTTTAAGATTCCATTTGTGATCCATGGATGCCCTCTTTTACTATGTTTTAAAGATTTCTCTGGAATGGTTACATTGATGGAATCATTAATTTCATTGATTAAGGAATTATAGGCCTTGTTGGGGTTTGAAATGTTATAAAATTCATCCCAGGTTTTGTTTTTGAGGTGTAGGGAGAGATTAACGAGGGTTTTGCTATTTAGAACTTTTATCTTCCTCTCTGAACATGAATCTGGTACTCTATTGATCCAGTTAGTGAACAGAGCAACAGGAAAATGATCAGAGATATCAGAATATATTACACCTGACTTGCATCCAGTGTTTTGGATGTTTGTTATTATATTGTCTATAGTGGTCTTGCTTCTCTCTGTAACTCTGGTGTATTTATCAATAGTGGGATAGAATGATGAGGAGCAGAGGGTATTTTGGAAATCAGTTCCTATTAAATCTTCTTTAGATAGGTCTATGTTAAAGTCGCCCATGATAATACAGTTTTTCTTCATCATATTTATGTAGTTTAACATGTTATCGAAGTGGTCTCTGAATGTTTCATAATTGGAATCAGGTGGTCGATATACTACTCCAATAATTATAGAGCCTTTTATTGTTTTTACTTCTAGGGCCCTGTCCACACGAAGTCAAGCTCAGGCCTAAACGCAAAAATACTTTATCAATCCAGTGTATCGTCCATACGAGGCCGGCGTTTTGGGGGGGTGTAAACGAACATTTTTGAAAGTAGGTCCCAGAGTGGAAAGATTTCAAAACTCCGTATATGCCGCTCCGTGGTTACTGCCTCTCCGCAATGTATCTGAGACGCTTGCGTCATCGCCCCGCCTCTTGTTAAAGCACGCATGCGCCGCACTCAGAAAATAATGACAACAACAATGTAGCTTGTTGGTTTTGTAATCCAGTGCGACCCGAAGCAACAGTTCAACCTCATCGTCCGTCCATACTAATGTAGTACCAGCTCGCCCACTCGCCATGTTGTCTGTTTACAAAATTCTGCGCATGCCCAGTTCCCGTCACGGAAGTTTGGGCTTGATCCCGTCATTGCGTCACAGTGCCACCAACAGGTCTGGCATAGTTTCACAGCGTTTTCAGGCGTATTGACTACATTCATATGGACGCACACATTTACTGAGCTAACTCCGTGTTTACAGAAAAAGTTTCTGAAATTATAAGCGTTTTGTCTTCGTGTGGATATAGCCTAGAAATAAAGAATCAGAGCAACCATCCTCTACCATGATATCATTTCGTTCCTTTACAGAATATTGAGTACTTACATATATGCATACCCCTCCTCCAATTTTACCCAGTCTGTTTCTAAAATGACCAGAGTAACCATCTAATTTATACATATCTTCAAATGATTGTTCATTCATCCAAGTTTCACAGCACCCAATTATATCAAAGTTAATGCCTGTACTGGCAAGTAACGAAACAAGTTCATCATAATGCTTTTTTAGACTTCTAATATTTAGGTGCATTAAAGAGAATGAAGAGTTGTTAATTTGTTTTAGTTGCTCAACGTCATAATAGTCACAGGTAATACTGGTAGAGGCACGAAGGTAGTGCTCAAATTTCTCAAATTCACTACAGCAATTTATGTCAATTATTCCCATAATTTTATTATGACATATTTCAGATTATATACTTTACTTCCACATATCAAGCATAGGACCATATCCATTTTTAACAAAACACCCAGTGAAATAAGGAAGACAAAATATAGACATATAATTAAACAAAACAAAAGAGTTTGGATTACTAACATCGAAACATTTCTGGCATTCCACTCTCCCAGTACAGAGACTTAACACCAAAAGTAGTTGTCCTTTGGGGGAAAATGTGTCCCGTAACCCGCGTTGACAGGCTTGAAAAATCACAAGAGTCAAAGGGTTGTAGCACTCATAGTACTCAAGTACAGTTACTTTACCAGTCACGTGAGGGATGAGAGGAATGCTTCAGCCTTGTTGGGATCTTTGAAAGGCTTTTGCCCGCCGTTTGCCTTGAAGGACAGGATTGCTGGATAGGCCATTCTAAACCTGATGTCCCTTTTAATAAGCTCCGCACAGACCGTGTTGAATGCCCGTCCAGCAGCCCGGACTTCAGGTGGAGTGTCTGGTACGAGCCGCAAAGTACGGCCCTCATGCTGGGGATTCCCCTGGCGCTTCACCGCTGACATTACCATCGCCACATCTCTGGAGCGTTGAAGTTTCAAGACCACAGCGCGCGGGCGTCCGTCCTCAGGTATTCCAAAGCCCCGATGGGCACGGTCAATGGGTATAGTTGTAACAGGTAGCTGCAGTAGTTTAGGAATGAACGCCTCAAAAAACACAGTCGGGTCATTTCCCTCAGTGGACTCTTTCAGATTTAGTATCCGAATGTTTTTGCGCCTTTGACGACATTCCAGTTCAATTACTTTGTCTCTCAGCTCTTTATTAGCGATCAACAGTGAATCTAGATGCTTTTTAATCGGAGCTATGCCATCCTCCAAGTGTGAAATACGCGTTTCAGCCTCCGCTTGTCTCGTAGCAAGTGCCGCGGTTATCCACCTTGGCCTCGAGTTTCCCAAAGGATTCATTCACGGACAATAGGATGCGTTTTCCCTCTTCTGCCACTGCCGCTGAAATACTCTTTAGCAGAGCTTCAGTCATTGAAACAGAGGGGGTAGCTTCAGAGGTAGCATTAGCATTGGCACTGCCGGTGATAGGAGTAGCACTCAGAAAAGAGTTTCCCTCAGAGGCATCTTGGCCTTTGATCGCACGCTTAGATTGTTTGGACATGATTTAAAGCTTGACGAATTGCGTTCAGTCGGTAGGTGATTTCATAAAATCATTGGAAGGAGGGTGGTGCCAGACGTCTCCTCTCACGTCGCCACTTTCATATTCTTACTCTGCACACTTCATATATTTTATTATTATACGGCTCTTCACAGTTGAAGTAGAACGCTTCACTGATTTGAAAGTCATTTCAAAACGTTCTACCGGTCATTGCTTCTTGATAACGGACCTCTCGAACCAATAATGACCGCTGCCATTGGTAACGCAATTTGTGCTTGTAATTCACGTGAGTCAGATTACTCCGCAGTAGTCCGGCCACTTTGTCAATGAGCATATTTACGCTAGCGTTATCTATTTCCAGAGGCGCCTGTCAATACTTTCGTCTCTGTTAGGGAACCTGGGGGAATCACTCCTAACTGGGAATTTACACAGTAGGCGTTCACAGCACGTAAGCATTGACTGCGCCGTGGAGAACAGTACTTATCTTTTGGTCCAGTTCTGTTTTGTTAAGGAAAAACTGCCATAAACAGTCTTTAAACAAGAAAAAAGTGAACAATGAAGGAAAAACACAAGATCAGAAATAAAAAGCAAAGTAGTATTTTGTGTTGTACTTTCCTGGCCATAAATTCATGTATAATATTTATACTTTAAATGTGGCTATTTTACATGACCATCAGCCAATTTTTTCTCAGCTTTTAAGTCATCTTCCAAAGAAAATCCTAAACTAGTCATTAACACCATCTGAATGTAAAACCCTCTGAAAGGCAGCAGGAAATACTGTGTCTCCTATAGCTCAATTATTATTATTATTAGATCAAACATTATTAGCTCATGCAATTATTAAAGTTATGAATTCAGAAGCAGCCCCAGTGAGCATGAAGACATGTGTGTAAGATATTCACATGTAATCATCATATTCACAGACTCACCGACCCGCAGAGTGACCTGAGCCTCAGTGTTGGTCCGGGGCATGCAACAGCGGTACGTCCCCTCATCACTGAGCTTCACTCGGGACAGGCTCAGGGAGAGGTCTCCCTTCTGCAGCCGGCTCTCGGACAGAGCCGTGCGGGCCAGATACAGTGGGTTTTGGTTCATGAGGAGGTCCAGACCGTCACGTCTGATGTGGACGTATGGGGGAGTCAGGTCCAGTCTCGCCCACTCCACCACCTGCTCCCTGAGGTCTGCAGCAGGCTCCACCTGACAGGGCAGGGTGATGTCACTGCCCACGGGCGCCATGACGACCTGGGACGGAGTGACCATTGTGTACTGACCTGAGGACATCAAGATGTTACTAAAGGTGTTAAACTTTTGTTTTCTTTTATGTATTATGTATTCTTCCTTATGGACCTCCACCTCACTGTGAGGGGAGAGTTTGGTGGGAGCTGTGTCCGATTGGGACAAGGGTCCTGTAGGTGAAAAAGTCTGAATGCTTTCATGGACAGTGACAAATGTAATGGAGAACGGTTCAATCTTTTGGTTTGATGCAATTGAAGCCCACTCTGAGCCAAAAAGGTTGATGTGAGGGTCACAGTTGGGTCCGAATAAAACGGAAAAAAATCTAACTTCCAAATCCTCATGCCAGATGGGCTTCGTTCTACAGAGGGTGGTGCACCAACAGTTGTATCCTGTATGCAGCTAAAGCCTCGCTTGAATACTTACCCCAGCAGAAGTGAGTCTGCACGAGGAAGAGGACAGAAAGTTGCACCACCTGCATTCTGGAAATCTATGAAGGAAGAGGATCACACTTAATGTGAGAAGCTGTCTCATGTTAATATCTTATAATACAAATATGTTAATGTATTTTTCTTATTTTACATGCACTAAATAAAAGTATTTTTTTTGCCGGCTCGCTGAGGGTCTTGTGATTGACTCAACCTGTCCCCCCGCCCTTTATAAAGTCACTTTACTGCCCATCATACGTCACTTTACTTCACTGTACTGCTGTCACCTTACATTGTGTGCACCATGTGCACTTGTATATTGTAAATAGTAACTGTAACTCTATTTTAAATTTAAATTTATTCTTTAGAAGTGTTTTTTATTATCTCTTTTTGACTGTTGCACTCCCACTGATGACTGCTGTCGTTGTGTCCTTGGGCAAGACACTTAACCCCACTTTGCCCAAAGCCCCCACTGAAAGATCAAGGCTATGCTCACACTCAGAGAGCAGCCGTCCTCCTGTGGACTCACCACCTGCAGAGGGTCAGTGAGGGGCTGGTGCTATGAGACTTGGGTGGCATCTCTGATTGCCACCCCCCTGACCCAGAAATGGATTAAAGGGTAGAAAATGGATGGATGGATGGACTGTTGCACTGAGCCAAAGCAATTTCCAAGTCTGTGACCTCCTGTTACTTACGTGGCAATAAAAATGATTCTGATTCTGATTCTGAAATAGAAAGTGAAAGTATTCTCTCACTCTTATGTAGCCTACAACATGTAGCTCAAATCAAGAGTTCACCCCAGTTACAACACATCCATGACTTACAATCGTTTGGACATGTGGCAACCGAGGGGTTAACAGATCGGATAAATAATAAAAAAATAAAGATTTTAGAGAGGTTGTAGCAACTGTAGGATAAATTAAAATGACCTCTTTCCTCAATCAAAGACATTTTGTTGTATATTGAGACATATTATAACTTATGTCTCCACTGTGTGTAAATCCTTGTGGTTCAGGTTTTATTGTGGGCAAGAATGTCTTGAGATAAGTGCCATGGCAACACCCTTCCCCCAACGACTCTACAACAAGGGAAGACAAACCAGTCTGCTTTGGAACCACGGAGTGACGAGACCTCCCTGAGAGAAAGAAGTAAGCACAAAGTGACAAAAAGTTTGATGGATGACCTTTTGACCTTTAGCCACGCCCCCTCTATTGTCTAAAATGGCACCCTCTATTGTCTAAAAAGCGTGGGAACCCAGAGGTCACAGCGGGTGGGAAAATGTTTTTGTTCTATTTTCCTTTAACTTTAATTAAGCAGTGTGTGTGAAAATCTCCCCCTGTGTGAGTTAGCATCTTCTCCTTAAGCTGTCCAATTAGCCCCCCTCTCTGTATGATGGGGCTGTTTTCATGATTGATGGGTGGAAAAATGTTTTTGTTATATTTTCCTTTAACTTTAATTAAGCAGTGTGTGTGAAAATCTCCCCCTGTGTGAGTTAGCATCTTCTCCTTAAGCTGACCAATTAGCCCCCCTCTCTGTATGATGGGGCTGTTTTCATGCTTGATGGGTGGAAAAATGTTTTTGTTCTATCTTCCTTTAACTTTAATTAAGCAAGGTGGGAGAGAGGTCTGTGAGAAAGCATCTATGCCCTTAAGAGTGACAATTGATAAGCCCAATGACAAGGGCTAAAATCTTCCCGCGGGTTTTTCAAAAGAAAACTTCCTCCAGAGCAAGGCACCTGCAGAGAGAAAATAATTTCCTCGTTAAAAGTGAGACAATTGATAAGGCTAGGATGTGGGAGGGTCTATCTCACCTCCTATGTGTATAAATACTGGATCCATGAGATTGACCAGTGTTGACCAGGACCATGAAGAGTCTGCGCTACCTGCATCAAGAAGTGTCTACATCCCCTGATTGAGAAGTCTGCACCTTCAAGTTTTGAGCTAAGCCCTACCACACCTCTGTGAGTAATTGAATTTTGCTATTTACACAATAAGTTACTGTGTGCGTGCGTTTTCGCACACACACACTCCATGCATCACTGTTTTATTATATCTAAAGTGTAAGGCATTAACCCCATCTTCTTTTAGTTTCAGACCACTGGCGAAGAACTCGTTCTTAAAGATCTCAGAATCTACATTTCAACTGGGAAAAAGTAAGCGGATTTTATTTTATTATTATTATCTTCTATGTGTGTTTAAAAACTAATCAATAACATTCTCCATCAGATCATCAGGATCCCCCAATCGGCTAGTCAGCAGAGGATCCCCAGCCCTTCATCTGATGAAAGCCCTGGAACGACCAAACACCTCAAGTGTGAATCGAAGCAGCATTACCAAAGTCGTCCAGCAAACTGAACTATTGAAAACAGCAATCGGTGAGCCCCATACGCGATAATCTGTATAGGCACACATGTTATACTGTTAGGGTTGTTCCCAGTATCTGTGCTGACTCATGGAGCTCTTATGCCAATGACTCTGTAATTTTTTTTAAAAATGGCTGAATCATGTGATGTACCCCCGGATCTTCTCCAACTCATCTCAGAGTTAAATGCTGAAACAAATGTCACCAGTAATTCTACAAACTGTGAACATGGCAGTCCGATAATCAACCAATATGAGAACGCGGCTCAAGTCTGCCTTCCAACTGAATCCCAACTGCAAAACGATATACAGACATTTAGATATCCGTCACCCCCACCAACACAAGTCAATCGTGAGTTAGAATTGAATCCTGCAAGTCCCAGCGATACACAATGTCTAAATGCCGTAGATCATTATGAGAGAACGCTCACTGAGGTTGAGGAGGGGCCGTGGTCCCCCGCTGATTCGATGTGTGTGGACTCATTAGTCACTTTTGAACAATCTGATGAAAGAGGTGTACATGTTAGGCCTTCCACATCCCACTTTGAGCCAGATTTTCAGCAGCCCTCAACTTCACACCAGGGCGGCGGTTTAGTGTATGACAACCATGATGAAGTGTCTGAAAATGATGATTCGGGTTATACAAGTACTGAAAAGCGCAAACGTCGCGGTAAATTCAACAATATTGAGATTACCACAACACTGCGTTTTCATCAGACTCCAACAGCGGACTTCCCCCAGTTTTTCCAGAATGTGACAAATGGATTTAACAATACTGTTTCAAGAGCCATAGAGACAGTCGGACTTTTACCTAACGATCGCATTCAGGTTAGTCTGGGGGCCGCTAGTTTACAAACAGATGTGACAATGACGCTCCTCTATGGTGACACTTTAGCGTCTGAATTTCAAGATCTTTTATCGCGTCTAGTCCAAAGTAATAATAATATTTACACAGATGAAACTCTTACGCTAACCATCCAGATTGTGAGAGCGCCCCGTGGCAGTGGCAAAAGACGATTCGAATCTTGTCTCAATTCAGAAATTATAAAAAAAAAAGCAAAACATATGTTTATAGTTCACAACTCTGATCAAACATGTTTTGCTGTTAATCTGGCGCTATTGACAAACCCCTCTCTGTCAACCACAGAGGCCATAACCGAAGGTCATAAAATTCATACACAGGCTGGTTTATCCCTCGATGCAGACGTCGCATTTCCGGACATTGTAAAATTTGAAGAGTTGTTACGTTGCAAAATAGTTGTTTTCCATCGTTCCCCCGACAGTGAAAAAAACAACCTAATTACTTTTCAAACACCATCTGCTCCCCAGAAAACAACACACTATTTTTTCTTACATCATAATCATTATTATGGTGTGAAAAATATCAAGGGTTTTCTAGGCACTCGGTTTTTTTGCCATCATTGCCACAGCGGGCATAATAACTTGTACAGGCACTATTGCGATAAAAGTTGCTCCATATGCGGTACCAACTGTAAAAAAACGCCATATAGTCCCGTCTACTGTGATGACTGCAATCGCCATTGTACAAACCGTGTCTGCTATACACGTCATAGGGAGAAAAGAATGCGTCCAAAACAGTGGCGGCTGGTGATAAAAAAATTTGGGGGGGCGCACTGGCAACAATAAACTACTTGCTGTCACGGTGGTGTGTCGATGTGGACCCAAAGGCAGGGAGGAATGGAAGGAGGCAGACAGGTGAAAGGTTAACAGATTTAGTGATGGATAAACTATTTACAACAATAAACTATTTACAACAACAAACTATTTACAACAATAAACTATAACATTAAACTACTAGCAACAATAAACTATTTACAATAAAACTATAACATTAAGCTATTTATAACATTAAACTACTAGCAACAATAAATCTATTTATAACAATAAACTATTTATAACAATAAACCATTTATAACATTAAACTACTAGCAACAATAAACTATTTATAACATTAAACTATTTATAACATTAAACAATTTATAACATTAATCTACTAGCAACAATAAGCTATTTACAACAACAAACTATTTACAACAACAAACTACTTGAACATAAATTTTGCTCTCCTCTCTTTCAGGCTAGCAAATCTTTCAATGACTCTCTGATTGAAATTGGTCATTTGACAGATTAGTCTCTTTTCCATTGAGAGCATGGCCAGGGCATTCAGCCTTTCCTGGGTCATGGTGTTTCTCAGAAAAGTTTTCACCCTTTTTAAGGTTGAGAAGCACCTCTCTGCTCCAGCTGTGGTCATCGGTGTGGTAATAAGGATCCTTAAAAGAGTGACCGTTTCTGAAAAAACATCTTGAAGATTGTTCTCCATGAACAGCTGGAACAGGTCCACTGCACCACAACAGGCTCTGAACTCTGCTTTGCTGTAGATGAGACTGAGCTCTGTCTTGAGCTTGCTTCCATTCAGCATTGGGTAGGCCTTCAAAGTGCTTTGCAGCACCTCTTCGGGAAATGACCCGTGATGTTCCTCAAACCTGTCCCCCTGCAACAAGGTGGCACAGACAAGATGGTCGGTGAAGTTGAAGCGCTCCCTGGTGTGTCTCAGAATGGTGTTGCAGATCTACAGAGAGAATACAAAAACAGAGAGAAAAAATAGATATTAAATTAATTTACTTTTGTTGACATTGTTACCCTCTGTTGCTGCATGGTTTTGAAAAAACATCTTGCTATTATTGACAACTGCAATTGTGATATGATTTTTAATATTTTCATTAAACATTTAGGTTAATTGTGATTAGGAGATGAACTAAATCATCTCTGTAACATGACATATTTAAAATGGTATTTAAATAGCTATTTCATAAACTATGACAGATTTCTACAACATAAACTCACCTCTTCTGCAGCACTCTGACGATCCTCGGAACTGAGTACCCGACGCCGTTTTGCTGTCAGAGAGTCACTGCTTTGCTCACTCATGGAATGGAGAGAATTTCTGTGAAGAAGAAGTCATAATAATGATCAAAAAGTTGAAAAGAGATAACAATTAAAAATGTGATGATTATATTATTGACATATTACCTGATGTTTTGTATGTCCTGTTCAAACTGCTGGATGCTCCTTTTGATGTGGACTGCATCTATGTTCTTCTTCTGGAGCTTGGCATAGAGGAGGTCCACAAGTGGCATGATGTGGTGAAAAAGTTCCAGGAAGAACTTAAAGTCCTGATGTTCCAGCAGCATGGCCATGGCTCCTGCCTCTCTGATGGTGTTGGAGTCAAAGTCACCCGAATCTCGTATGTTCTCAAAACATTGAATGAGATCATCTCTCTGCTCAAACACAGTGTTGATGGCTCGGCTGTGAAAGTTCCATCGGACATTGCTGGATGTTGGCAGTCTACGGGCCACCATTTTATCAAGGACAGCCGTACGCTTGGGTGACCTAGAAAAAAAGCTTGCAAATCCACCCAGGTCAGAAAAAAAAATTCTCACCTTGGAAATGTGAGAGGTGGCCTGTTGCATGATCAGGTTGAGTTGGTGTGCATAGCAGTGGATATAATGGGCATTTGGGTACACATCTTTGATCTTCCTCTGAACACCTGCATTGGCACCCCTCATGACACTGGCTCCATCATACGCCTGGCAGATTAGCTTGCTTTTCTGATCCTCAGGAATGATGGCAGCAAGACGCTCTGATAATGCAGCAGCAATGGACTCAGATGTAGCTGACTGCAGAGGAATGAACTCAAAAAATCTTTCCTGCACACTGTGCTTGTCATCAATGTAGCGTAGTACAAGCACAAGTTGGGACTGTGTTGAAATATCTGTTGTCTCATCTGCCTGGATTGATACAAAAACACTCTTTTGAGCTTCTTCAATTATTTGCTCTCTTGCAACAGACAACATACAGTCCAAGAGTTCATTTTGGACAGTTTTGGAAGTACCCTTGAAAACAGTGGCAGTCTCAAGGTGCTCTTTCAAAGCTCCATCCAGAGAGGCAACAAAATCGACCAATCCACGAAATATCCCAGGGTTCACAGAGCTCTCACTCTCATCGTGGCCACGTAAAGCCAACTCAAAGGCCCCACAGAATTTCACACAGTCGATTATCCTGGACAGAACATGACGATTTTTTGTCACCTCTTCGTTGTGCCTTCTAATGCCAACTCTGTAGCCCTCGTCTAATTGTTCAGCAATGCTAACGCGGCCAAAAAACTGTAGCTTCATACTGTTGTCAATGTGGTAACGGCTACTTTCATGGCGTTTGCATTTTTCAGAGAGATGTTTCAGGTCTCTGACGCCTGTTGTTGTCCACAACACTTCCGTACCAACACTTTGAAAAAGCAAGCAGGGAAAGCAAAAAAGAGCATTGCTTACGTCGCATCCAGTGAGCCAACTGTGTTTAGCATAGCACAGACCGGAGAAGCCTCGGGTGTAACTTCGCCCACGGTCACTTGCCTGCTGCTGGATCTGTAAGACGGGTTTCTCCGGTCCAAGCTCCTTAATCCTTTTTTTTTCCTCCAGCGAACGTCTCGTAAAAGGATTGAGTTGTAAAGAAACAACCGAATTTTCTTTGGCCATATCTGCTGTTTTGTTGTACGTCTGTCTCGCTTCTTCGCCTCCGTAAACCCGCGCGCGGGAGTGTCAGTGTTGGAGTGACAAGCGCGTTGCCAGTGACTTTGACTGACAGCCAGGTATCATGAACCAATCAGATTGCAAGAAAAATTAGCCAAGCGCGCTGATTCGCCAGGGACGCAGCTCTCTGCGCCCCGAGGAGAATCTTTAAGTGACCAATTAGAGACCAGCATGAAGTCACATGGTAGCCGCAAGTTTGGAAGACACGTACACACTCATTTGGCCGGCGCCCCTTGATATTAAAAACTAATAAAACAACACAAAATAAAAGTAAGAACCATTGTATGAGTGAACACTGAACAGATGTGGTAATGACTTTTTATTACATAATTTATGTTTACTGTGTGTATTAATTCTTTATGAAATTTTGATGAGGGCGGCGCCTGAGCGCCCCCTATTGACAAGCCACCACTGGTCCAAAATCTGGATGCTATGTCAGCAATTGTCAGCTCAATAAAAAATGTCCGGTTTGCAAATTAATCTACTATAACTCAATCAAAAATCCTAAAGAGCACATTTGCCGCGCATCTCTATGCCCAATCTGTAAACAACCCAAAGCAAACGAGGATGGTTCTGAGCCACATGTTTGTTTCATGCGAACAAAAAAACTTAAAACTCAAAAACAAATATACAGCAAAAAAGTGGTATTTTTTGATTTTGAGACCTCCCAGACTAATGGGACGCACGTGCCAGTCCTCGTAGCCACAAAATCCTTACACGGCGAGCATATAGTTTTTGAAGGCCCAGACTGTGCTGTGAAGTTCCTCCGACATTTTCGTCAAAAAAAATATGAGCACACTACATTTGTGTCACATTACGGGAAAGGTTTTGATCACCACATTCTTTTGAACGCATATGTTAGTGAGTGCTTAAACCCTGAAACAATAGCACAGGGTAGTAAAGTTATTCTCATTGGAGACAAGGATTTTTCACTCAAATATATAGACTCTTTCTCCTTCATGCCCATCCCTCTCAGAGATTTCCCCAAGGCCTTGGGGTGTAAAACACAGCTTAAAAAAGGTTACTTCCCTCATAAATTTACAGATCCTTCGAGAAAAGGTTATATTGGCAAATACCCTGACCCCGAGTTCTATGGGGTAAATGAGATGTCGATTAAACAGAGAACGGATATCCTCCAATGGTATCAAACGGTGAAAGATGGTACATTTAATTATGATGCTGAAATACTGGCTTACTGTGAAAATGATGTTCAAATTCTGTCTGAGGGTGTGTGTAACTTCCGCGATGAATTTATAAACTTAACATTCTGTGATCCGATAGATAATGTCACCATCGCTTCAGCAGCATTAGCGGTTTTTCAATGCAGATTCTTAGAACCTAATACGATTGCAATCCCCTGTCCACTGAACTATGCATCCGGTTACAAGTCCTTCTCTCATGCTTCTATTCAATGGCTGGAGTTTGAGGCCGAGAGCCGTGGCATTGCCATACAGCATGCTTTGAATGGCGGGGAGGTTAAATTTGGACGGTACAGTGTTGACGGATGTGCTGAAGTAGACGGTAAAACAACTGTATTTGAATTTCTAGGTTGCTTTTTTCATGGCTGTAATTCATGCTACAACCCACATGATGAATCTCCACTCACTAAAACATGTTTTAGCGAGCTCTACTCTCAGACCATGGAGAGGAAAGCACGATTAGAGTCGGATCACAATGTGTCAGTAGTGTATATATGGGAGCATGAATGGGATCGCATGAAAAAAAGTAACCCGACTGTTCAATCTTTCTTAGAGAAGTTTGACGAGCCAATTCCATTGGATCCGAGACAAGGGTTGTATGGCGGCCGAACCGAGGCTGTTCGCCTACGACACATTGTAGTCCATGGTGAAAAAATATTCTATGTGGATTTCACATCGCTTTATCCGTGAATGCCACGGGACTTTACCCGCTTGGTCATCCGATAATCATTCGGAAAAACTTTGATAAAGTTGAAAATTACCATGGTTTGATTCACATTAGACTACAACCGCCACGAGGTCTGTACTTTCCGGTTCTTCCTATCCGGATTGACAACGGGAAACTAGTTTTCACTCTTTGTCGGACATGCGCACACACAAACAACCAGGTAACTGAGTGCACCCACAATGCAGAGGAGAGAGCTCTTCAAGGAGTGTGGACGACGGTAGAAGTGATTGAAGCCTTGAGAAAAGGTTATACAGTGTCTAAAATCTTTGAAGTTTGGCACTTCAAAGAGAAAACAGATAAACTGTTTAAAGACTACATCCATACATTCCTCAAACTCAAACAAGAGGCACCAGGGTACCCACCAGGAGTGGATGATGTTGCAAGTAGACTGGCGTACATTGCAGATTATAAAGATAAACAGGGTATCACCCTAGACCCCAAAAAAATTGCTTACAATCCGGCCAAGAGACAAATTGCTAAGCTCCTCTTAAACTCTCTCTGGGGAAAGCTGGCCCAACGCCCTAATCAGCTCTCAACCACGCTGGTGAGAACTCCGGAGCGTTTTTTTGAATTTCTCTTTTCAAGCAAGTATGACATTTCAAACTTTCACTTCATAAATGATGATGTTGCTCTCATTCAGTGGCGGTTTAGTTCCAGATGTATCACCCCTCCTGGTGATTCAAACATTTTTCTAGCGGCCTTCACCACCGCCTACGCCCGGCTTGAACTTTACAAGCAATTGGATTTGCTGAACGATCGCGTTCTGTACTGTGATACAGATTCTATCGTGTTCACCTCATCACCCTCTGATCAATACAATCCCCCATTAGGGAATTATCTGGGTGACCTGACATCTGAATTAGACCCAGATGATTTCATCTGCAACTGGTCGTCCATGGGTCCTAAAACATATGCATACCGCACAAAAAATGGGAAAGCAACTTTAAAGGCGAAAGGAATCACCCAAAATTATGAAAATTGCAAAACCATTCACTTTGACAGCGTGACAAAGATGGTAGAAGATTTTCTTAAAGATCCCACTAGCTGCCAAAAACTCCCCGCTCAATACAATAAGATCACACGCAACATGAAAACGTTTCAGCTTCAAAACAAAAACAGGGGTGATTAATCTTTCCCCTGTTTTTGACAAAAGGCGTCTCCTAGCAGACGGTACAACCCTCCCCTTTGGATATTAGTTATGAAATCATAACCCAATGTATGTTCTGTACAGTCTATGTTTTTATCTTGTATCGATTGTATATTATACCATGTTTTCCCTGTTTTATTATGTCTGGATAAAGTCAATGAATTTTGTACAGTTTTATGTAACTATGACCATGAGCATATGAACTGTGAAAAAATGATTTTCTGTACAGTACAAGTTCTTTATGATTTATTTACTCCGTATTATACTTTTTATTTATTTTTTATTTTTTCAGTTTATTATGTGTGAATAAAGTCATTGTTTTCTAAATGCGTGTTTTGGGATTTTTGCCTTCGATCACATGGTTTTGTGAAATATACAATTTTCTGTACAGTACAAGTTCTTTATGTTTTTATTTACTTTATATTACACTTTTTTGTTTTTTCAGTTTATTATGTGTGAATAAAGTTTATTGACTTTAAAAATTTTGCTTGGTTTTTTGACACTAACCACAGGGATGTGAAATAAATATTTTTCTGTGATGTGATTCTTTATCTCATGTCAATAAAATCCAGCTTTTTCACGCATCAGTCTATCTAGCTATAAAATGAGAGGGTTGCAGTTATTTAGAAGCATTACAGCTAAAACATGGAAGTGTATTTCGACCCACGTTTCCAACTCCCTTTCACTGCAATACTAGTGGGGT